ACTAATCATGGAATTGTGTATTTGGGGACTTTTGAATTATAATCAGCAGACATTTTTCATAAGCAGATAAACATCACAAGGATATACAATAAAGAGTTGTATAAAAAAGAGATTAATTGGATATTTCCTATGTTGAAATGATTTCTTTGGTAAGCTAAAGAAATCAAAAGAACAACAAAGTGACATTGTGCATATTTTGACTACAATTATCATTTGAAACTGTGCATTTGAAGTACTTGAGAAATCAGGATTGTTGTAGTATGCCAGAAGAAACACTACATGAACTGAAAATAGAGAAAAAAATTACATGTGCGTTTGTTAAAATATGAAAGTAATGTGAGCTAGTGGGAATTTGCAGTGAAGCCAAAACCTAATGCCACAGAAGGAAAAAAGGGACTCATTCTAGCATGCTAATGAGACCACACCTGGAACAATGCATTCAATGTGGGATACCTCTAAACAAAAATGAACATCTAGGAAACTGGAAATAGTTCCGAGACAAGCAATAAGAATGATTAAGGGCTTGGAGAGACTGATCTGAAACAAGATTAAAAGGCCTTACATTTGTTTAACGTGGCTAACAGATGACTAAAAGTGGGCATGATATCTGTTTATAAACATCTGAATGTTGGGTGTAAACATGAAAGCTAGAGTAGAATTGCATAATATGGTAGGAAAAGGATTTAACTTGGGGGGGGGGTGGGGAATTGAAGAGAGAATTTGAAAGTAAATACAATGAAGTTATCTCCCAGAGAGTGTGCATTTCCTTTTCTTTAGAGACTCTGCCAAGAATGAGGAAGTGGAGCAGAGAGAGAGCCCAGCAGAAGAGAATGACCCAACAGGTCTCCTGCAGGTGGTCTGATTTCTTCACTTTCAGTAGAAACATTTTTAAGCTTGATCTGTTTGCACAAAATTACTCAGAAAGTGTGTTTATAGGTTTTAGAAAGCCAGAAGCACAGCATTTTAGATTCCTGGACAATCACGTACCCTCATTGTTCTGTCATTGGTAGAGTAGGCCAGTAAAACAGTCTTAAATCTAGTTCATGTTAATGCTGACCTCTAAACGTCCATTATCCCGAAGCTCAAAGGGTTTGGCTTAGAATTTACTAAGAAACAATTGATTGATTTTATTTTTTAAGAATTGTGTATACTTTCAGCTGGAGGTCAAAGGTACAGTAACTGGGAGCAACTCAAGAGATCTATTTTTGGATAATTTCTACAAGCATTCAGTCCTCTATTTTCTTTTTTTGGTGAATGTAGTGTCTTATTCCCTTTTCTTAAGCCTAAAGTTTTTTTCTTATTAAAGTGATGGAATTGTTTTCCATTAGGGTTACTTTAAAATGAAATTAATATAAAAATTACGTTTTAGCTTATGAGCTCCTTAGAGGGCTTTGTTTAATTTGACTTATATAAAGTCCAATGCCAAAATGGTGCCATGCACACTTGAAAAAAAAAAAGTAGATGATAACTGCAGGAGCATCTGCCCTCGAGGGGTTGGTTAAGGGAATTGCTAATAACAGAATCTTATATTTTTACCGATTTTCACTGTAAAATTATATTTTCTCTCTTCCCAGAACAAATGTCTTTTCTCAGATGAAGTTGGACATTTACAGATATTCCAATGGACTGATTCATGTCATGTAGGACCTGCTAATGTTTCTAAATCACTTGCAGATTTCAGACTTTGGAATTTCCCTCCATGTCTTCTCCCATTGATCTCTTTTTGCCTCTCCTCTTCATTGCCTTGTAGAACTTCGTTGCAGTACCAGACTGGGCCAATAGATGCTGCCACTTCATGATGTTAACAGTTGGATGGTTTCTTTTGCAGTGGTTAAGGCCTAGGATAAAGTGTGTGTTGAGGGGAAAGTAGAGGGGAGAGGAAAGGTGATGGGTAACTGATAGAGTCTCTCAGGAGAGTAATTTGGTTTTTAATTATGTGCTTATGAATTATTTGAATTTTATTACAGGTAAGATAGTAAGCAAAACCATAAAATATAATTAATTTTAAAAGGACACTTCAGTGTCACGTGCAGGAAAATTTTAGGCAGGAAGATCAATAATTGAATAACAGAATTTAAAAAGTAGTACCTAAAAGTATCTTGGACTCAACATTTCTCTACAGTAATGGAAAGGGAAAGCTTAAAAATATGATTGGAGAGTGTAAGGGACATAAGAGATGTAATTCTTTAAACTAGTATTTCTCAAACTGGTGTATAAGATCATTTTAAGTGGTACAGGATAAATGATATTTATTTCCATAATATAGATTCATTTGCAAGGTCATCATGTACTCATGGCTAGTTACATTGGTTTTCCATTTATGGTGATGATAAAAAGTTTCCTTTATCAGACAAATATATTTAATAGCTTATTTAAAGAAAAAATATTCTTTAAAGTCAATAACATTACAGGTGATATGGCATTAATTATGAAACTGGCACTCAATATAAATATTGTAAATAATGCATTATTTAAATAAGCAATAACCTTACAATTCTTTCTTTACTACATTCAACTTATTTCAATGTGGACTGAAAATGTGACATTTTATATCACTCCTAGTGGTATCCATTTAATTATATATATATATATATATATATATATATATATATATATATATAGACTAGATAGATTAGAAGGTAGTAATAAGAAGTTGAATGAGTAATATTGTGCTATAATTCTGTGAGTTTTTTTGGATAACTTCTGTAAACATATTCTTATGTAGATATAGACAAAAATTATGTGGGAGCAAAGTAACTTGAAAATAAAGTCAATATTGCTGAGAATTTGATTGTAGTAGGGAGTAAAGAAACATGCTAAACAACTATATTTATGTGAACAATATGCTGTACCAAAGTTTGAATTTTTATTTTATACAAATTATGCATCTCCGCACCTTTATTTAGAGGCCAAATTAACATTTACCATTCTATAACAAAATGAAATTCAAAATTTTGTGGCCTTATGAGAATATTAAATTCAGCATTGTACTTAATTTTCACAGGATATTTGCTATAGCTACAGAGAATTTCTAGACACTGAATGAGTCACAAAACATTTAAATGGAATATTTTGACTAGCATATATGCTGTTCTGAAAATAATTACCAATTTTCTGACTACTATTACATCACAGTGGCTAAGAGTGGTCTTTGGGGTTATACACATATTGGTTTGGATCTTAGGTCTGTCATTTATTAGAAAGTTGCAAAACATTATGAGGCCTTAGTTTTCTCTCCTGTAAAATGGGGGGAAATAATCTGCAAAGTTATTTAAATCTGCCCATTGATATTGCTATGTTAAGTGTATATTAACTGGAATCTTGTTTAGGCCAGAATGTTCTCTAGTCTAGACCATGCTCCAAATCCTCTTTGCACCAAATCTACCACCAGAACCCTTTCTTCCTTGAGAACCAGGAAAGGGAACATTATACTTGGCAAGTGACTAACCCCACCCCCTCGCTCCCCAATTAATCTGCAGGGAAGGACCCCCAGTGAGTGGTGAGATAAGCAATAAATACCTTTATCAGTTTAAATTTACAACCTTACCTTTGACATCGCCTGTTAATAATTTTAGATAACGCCCTATTAATTAAAAAATAAATTGTAACTACAAGTACAAATATTGTTTTTGCTTTGAGTTTGACAGTATCCGTATTAGTTGCATAAAACCAAGCTGAAGTGGAGGGGAAATCTTTTCCTGAACTTTTTACAGAATATAACTTAGTTGACAATGTATTACAACTAAATATTTTTTGAATGGGAGTAATGTATACCAATTAACTTGTAATTTTTCAAGCCACATCTAAGGCAGTGTGTGTGTGTGTGGTGGGGGAGGCTGCTTGTTGAATCATAGAGACCACTGGGTTTGTCCTTGGGAAAGTTATTTAGTTTTCTTTGGGCCTCAGTTTACTTAGCTCTTACACCGGTTTAAATAATCATTGTAGAGTTGTGAAATTAAATGAACTCACAGTACAAGTGGCCAGTATAAAGACTGATGGCCACTCAGCAAGTTCTCAATACACGAAAACACATAATTGATGTGACGAAGAAGATGCTCCAGAAATAGACAATAGGTTTTAGGAGGAGGTGATTACATGGATGCAAAAGGTATCTATTGTTTATTGTCCACTTTGCTTCAGGCCCTGGTTGCGATAAACACGTGTGCAATCCTATGTGGGTGCATAATACATGCGCAGAGAAGGCTTAGGCATGAAATGTCACTTCAGCAATGTGCCTGGGGCAGCTCTGACGCTGCCTTGGAAGTCAGTCGTCGCTGCCTGACCTTTGGGCGTCTGGGAGGGATGCCTATACCTGCTCCCAGCGCTGGAAAGGGCCCAGGCCCTTCCCAGCACAGCCTATCCCCAGACTGCTCACTGGTTCCTAGCACACATCTTCACGAAAAAGGGTATTTCTCCCCTTCGGTGAAAGCTCCCCAGTCAGGCGTGGGTTCGTTTTTATTTCACGTTGTCGCAAGTAGGCGAAGTCCCTCAGTCTCCACCTTTGGGTAAGTGGAAAGGAGTCCATCAGGACGTCCGCAGTGGCCTACACCAGGGGACAGGGCATTGGCAGAATTAGAGGCGATTCGGTGACTGCCCCGCAGAAGCAGGTGGGGACAGACAGCAGTTCCCCGGTCCGGGCAGGGGAGTGCGGTCGCGGGTCCCTCCCCTCCACCTGGAGGTCGCAGAGGCCGGTGCCTGGACAGTTGGGGGCGGGGTAGGGACGGCGCTGAGAGCGTGGGGATTACCGCGGCGCCACCGGGGACGCCCAGGGTCCCGAGCGGTTCCCACGCAGGACCGCAAACGATGACAACAGGCAATCGTCACCCGAGATCGAATAAAAAAGAGGCAGTTCTCCTCGCACCGCTGGCCCGCGCAGCCTGCCTCCGGGCCTCCTGCAGCCTCCAGTGGCCGCGGGCGCGGGCGGCGGAGTCCCCCGCCCCCCACCCCGCGCGCAAGTGCGAGGCTGCCCGCAGCACGGCGCACGCTCCGCCGCGCTCGGCTTCCGCGCAAAACTTCGAGTCTGTCCACGTGAAGTTGTCGCTCCCCTTTCGGAGGGGGACAGAGCTTTGGGAAACGCTGGGGAGTGACGGCTGCGGTGGCTGGGCGCGCCTGGTCTTTTTCTTTTCTTCTACTTTTTCCCCCCCTTGTCGTCAGTCCAGAGTTTTGGCTCCTCTCCTTCCCTCCTCCCCCTCAGAGCCGGCTGGTCCCCCGCCCCGTCTCTCCCCCACTTGTGTACGCTATTTGTTGGAGGGGGGTGACCGAAGGGGATGTCCTGTTTTCAGCAGAGGCACAGCGCGAAGGGGAAACTTCGACATTGGAAAGAACGACAATAAATACCTAAATACGGACCCACCCACGGATCCGCTGCTGGGACAGGCACTTGAACTTCAGGATCCCGAGGCGATCAGGGCGGCAGGAGGTGAGTGCCTCTTCTTTCGACCCCCGTCCTGGGGCTCGCCCGCTGGGCTTCAGGTTGAAGGGGGCCGTCAACTCTACCGGGGAAAGTGCGCGGGGCGCTGGGGACAGAGGGCGCGGAGCGGAACCGCGCGGGCGCCAGGGTACTCGCAGGCATCAGGGTCCCTGCGGGCGCTCGGAGGCTGAGTGCCGCACCCCGGAGGGCCCTTGGCCCGCTCGGGCTTCAGAGTTACATTCCTGCTGGAGTCAGCCCCGAGCCCCGCAAGGCCGGGCTGAGCCTTCCTGCCGCTGGCGGGCGCGTTGGAGCCCGTGCAGAACCCAGCGCGCCGCTCCCTACCTGCACCCCGCCCTGCCTCGCAGGGACGCGCTCGGGGTCTCCCCTCCATCCTGGCTGAGACTTTTATTACTTCGCCCTGACCCCCTAGATAAGCGTGGCTCGAGGATGCTGACCCAGGTCCCGGGAAGGTCCCGGGCGCCTGGGGTTTTCACGATGCTGCGCTCTGATGGCCAGGCGCGAACCGGGCTGGGAAACCGCGGCCATCCCTCCTGAACCGTGTTTGTGCGGCGCGGCCACCACAGCTCCCGCAGTTTGCCAGGGTCCGTGAAATGAGAGGCGCCTCTTCAGAGGAGTCGCGTTCATTGGCTCGGGACGCGGATGCCGTGGAGGGATTATAACTTCTCCAAGCGAAGGGACCTGGCTGGGGGAGCAGGTTTTCCTCTCGTTTCCGAGCCTGGTGGTTGGGGGTGACGGTGGGACTGGAACCGGCGCCCCGTTTCGGCATCGTTGAGCGGGATTTGGAAGCGGACCATGTGGGTGATGGTTTTATTCTGTGCCACACAGCAGCCAGAACTTTCGTTTAGTAGCGCTTTAAAGATGTTTCTTTCTTTGTACACGTTATTCGTAACAGCTTGGAGCGATTAGGGAATTTTCCGACCCAGTCCCCGGGCAGAGAGAGTGGCGGCGAAATTTTTGTCTCTTCCCTAGTTGGGGTAGCGGCGTCTCCCCTCACCACCACCCCTCTGCCCCCTTCCTTCGAAGACTGGGGGGCTTGTGCTTTGGGTGAGTGTGTGTTGGGGGGGGGAAGGGGGTGTTGTTTGGAGACGGTCTTTTCTCCCCTCTCCCCTGCACTACGGAGCCGCAGTCCTTGCTGAACCCTAACCGGAGGCAGCGGAGGAAGGTGCGGGTCCGCAGGCCCTCTCTGCCCAGGTGCGGAGGAGGGAAGGGGCGTGTGTTCGGGTTTCGGAGCGGTTCCACGTGGAGCACCTCCGTGTGCGTGTGTGTTGTGTACTTGATCTGCGAGGAGGTAATAGGAGTCTCGTGTTCAAACCCAGTGGGCTGTTGGCCATTAATTTGCTTTCCTGGCTGTCATTACAGACACTTCCAAAATCTGATACCCAGGAGAACCAACAGGTTGGGTTTCACATTAAGAGCTCATACTTAACAGTTTTCTTTCTCCCTTACCCCTTTTGGCTTGGCACCCTGGGATCAACGTAACTGGCGGAGCGAAACGTATCTTCTCGAACATGGCATTTGGTTCCTCTTCCCATCAGCAGCCACTTCTTGCACCCTCGGGCGCTTGTCAGTTTCAGGGCGGGCTCCTGCGGGATTGAGGTGGGGAGTCTCAGGAGCGTTTTAACAGCCGCGGGCTCCCCTTCGGCAGCTTCTGAAGTTTCCTGTAGGCTAGGTGACTGACAGTATTGCAAGTGGACTACGGTTTTTTTCTTTGTTGGGTTGTCTTTGTTGTGTTTTTAAAACCGCCTCAGGACAAGGATTGGACCCTTTTCCTTCCGGGTGGAGCTTCCTAAGCAGAAACATTGTTTTGTTTTATTTTATTTTAAAATATCTCGGGACAGTTTATAATAAGTCCAACAACCAAAAAGTAGGAAGGGGTGTGGAGGGGAAGAATACTAAAACAAAATACTTGATACGTGGTATGGTGCGTTTTAGGACTGCATTCAGAGGCATTTGTGTATTTTAAAAAATAACTCTCTCAAGAAATAGGTAACAGTAGTAACAAGAGACAAATTGTTCTGTGTGGGGCTAGACTGCCAGAGTCTAATTTTTATGGCAACAATACCAAACTCAGATATAACTGCATCCAATTTTATTGTTATTATAAACCATAAAAATAGTTTGTTCCACCTGATTAAAAGTTGTAAGTCATTCAGAGTTAAACCAACCTTTAGAAATGACTGCACAAGATAGTAAAAACCTTTGACAGTTACAGCTTTCAAAATAACATAATTAGATTATCTGGAAACTGTTCCCTTTTTATTATTATGAAGGGCTGTAGCCTTGTCTTTCATAACAAGTGAGGGTCTAAAATCAATGTGGTTTTCAAAAGCCTGTTTTCCTTTATCAAATTCCTGAAAATAGTATGCTTCAACATTTTAAGGCCATCATAATTAGAAGTTGTTTCATAAACAACTGAAATAAAAAGAAACTTGATCATTTTTATTAGTATTTTATTGTATATTAGAAACTTAATTTTTCCTGTACAAAATGAAAAGTTTTATGTATATGTATATATTAATAGTTAATATGTATTTTAAAAAATATGTTCAATTTTAAAAATTAAAAAAATGCAAGGTTTGTATAAAAATTGGTTCAAGAACAATTATTATTCTTATTAAAAATACAGATACTGAATTCTAGAGGATTTGGAGAAGGTAGTTGAAAAATTTGTCTGCATAAAAGTTTCTTTTTTGAGGGGAGACTGCAAGATGAGTTTTTCATTTTGCTATAATTTTTTTCTTTTAAAAAACCTCTTTGAGTTAAAATAAAAAGAAAAACAAGTTCTCCATATCTAAGAGTTTCCTTTTTTTATTTATATTGTGATTTGGGGTGTAAATAAATTTGACATAGCTACGAGAAGTAGAGTGTCCAGTTTCATGTTTTCAATCTCTGTTGCAAGCTCTAAATGGCTGATGCCATATCTAAAAATATATTTGTGTGGCTTGGTATTTCATTTTTTAAAAATTTATGCATTGGAATTGAATTATTCAAAAGTTTTAGAAAGTTAGAATGGTTAAAAACAAACAAACCCACATAACTATTGTTATGAAAAGTTAGGAGGTTGGAAAGTTCACTAACCCTCAATTAATAAAATTAAACTTATGTCACCCAATAGAACTTTTTATGCAGAATTCAAGAAGAGGGGAGATAATCCTTTTCAGGACTTAGTGAAGTGCTAAGTAATTCAAGAGTGCAAGTAGTTATTATGTTTTTTCATTATCATTTTTTCCCCTTCTCGGAGGTAAATGCAGGAACACTGAACTTTCAGTAAAAACAGGCCCCCTTTATAAGGAGTTTATTCACCATAGTTCTGTATTGCAGCTGCTGATCATATTTCATGGAGCTGTTAAAGCACTTAAAACCTAAAATTAGGTACTGTCTGGTTGTAAATATTTCAGATCACTCATTTAAGAAACAAACAGAAAAGCGTGCTATCAAAAGTAGAAGACGTTTGGAATCCTCTCATTGAAGAGCTAAACAAACTACCAAATGCCTTGTTATTTTTTTCACTGAGAATATAATCATGACAGTTTCTTTTACAAATGGATATTATTTTTACATATTCTAAGCTCATATAATATGTCTCCTGTAGAGTATCTTAAACTAACTGTATTCAGAAATACAGTTGGGGATTTTATTACAATGGTTACTAGGTGAATGAAATCAACACCAAGGAGGAATGGGATGAAGTTGCAGTGTACCTGCTTCTCTTGTGAATTTTCCCCAGTGAACTAAGAAGTAACATGCTCTTTCAGGCATTTGTTCTAGAAACGGGTGAGATTCAATGTGTATTTAATTACAGTAATATGTAATACTGCATTTTGCAGTTAGATGTGTTTTAATGTGGAGGGCACTGAATATTCATTAAATTGTACATGAAGCCAAACCTGGTGTCATTGAGCTTGAACTCAAGTGGAAGAATCACATATTCAAAAGCAGAACAAGCAAGTTCGATTGCTTTTGAGTTCGAAGACTTTGTAAACATTACTGTCACCTAGCATTACATGTGGCCCTGCACATTAATGTAATAAGCTTTCCTGATACACCGTTTTGCTCTTGAAAGTTTGGTGGTTCTTATCATGTCCCCATCCATGTTTTTACTAGGAGAGAGGTACTGAAAATGAATAGCACTTTTCTTATTTCCCCAACTCTTTTCCCTCTTTCAGAAAAAGAGATGAAACAGATTAATTTAAAAATAGAAACCATTTTAAGTTATCAAAACCACATTTATATGGTGTTTAAAACAGTTTTAGAGAGCGAACCTCTGAGTCTCATGGTAACCTTTTCTGTCATTGAAAGGTGCTAATTGATCTTAGGGCACTGACATAATAGTACAGTTTGATATTTGAAACCTTTCAGCATTGGTCTGGCCCTTTCCTCACCCTGAGATTTCAGTGCATGGCTGATGAAGAATAACACCATATTAAAATGCCAGAAATTCTAAATTTCCCCCATATGAAACATTTTAATACAAAATAGTCACATTTTAAAGCTTTTATTTATGTACAGTGGTGAATATATTTTAATGTATGAGCAAAGGATGTATTATGTTAGGATTTTTAAATATTATTTCATCACAGGCACATTTTTTTAGATTGAAATTTTTAGGTAAACTTGAAATTGCTGTGATCACATTGGAATACTTTCAAAGTGAAGTTTTATTAAATCAATATAAAATAGCCATTTTGAAATTTCATGTCTGAAGTATATTTTCTTACATATATTTATATCTTAAAGTATATTTTAAAATAAAAATTGACATTTTGGTTTTTGTATAGTTGCAATTTTTCTGCTTAATCATTATCATCACTCATCCTCATCATCAAATCATAGCTGACTTTTACTTAGGATTTACTTCATGCAAAATACTTCAAAGTGTTTATGTGGGTTAGCTAATCTAATCTACTCAACTACGTCATAAATTAGGTACTTTAATTATTCCTATTTTACAGATGAGGAAACTGAGACCAAGGCATGCAGTGGAATGG